CACAGGCAGAATGCTCATGCACAGGCAGATTGCATGCAGTTTGCCTGTGCAAGTCAAAATTTTCAGCTTTTGCACTTTCTTCCTCTGCAACTGCTTTGCTCTCATTTTCTACTGGATTTTTCTTGCTATTTGGATCCTCCAACTCTTTCCCACTCCTCAATGTGACGGCTACAACCATGGTGTCCTTCGGATTCCTCTTAGTATTTGCTGGTAAAGTCCCAGGAATCCTACCTTGAATATCTGCCAAAGTTTGAGCCATCTGGCCTATTTGCCTCTCCATAGCTAGCATAGATGATTGCATATTATTGTTGATGGCTAGCTGTTGAGTGACAAATTGATCAAGACCCTTGAAATTATTTTCTGTTTTCTGCATATGAGCCAAAATCAACTCCTCCAGCTGGGGCTTTTTCTCTGGTTGAGGTTGTTGTTGCTGGAAACCGGGAGGTGGGATGTTTCGGACACCAGCTGGATTATTGTTTGACCATGACATATTGAGGTGATGTCTCCATTGAGGGTTGTATGTATTTGAATACATACCACCCTGGCCTTGACTTCGCGGATTATTGATGTATTGGACATCTTCCAACTGAGCAGCTCCCAGTGGACACATATCCCTATGATGAGGACCCTCGCAAAGTTCACATGAAACAACCTCCTCTTGTCTACCCAAAGAAATCTTGGCCAGCCTTCGTTCGAGTGCATCGAACTTAGAATCCAGCTTGGCATCTATCTTGGCTTCTAGACTCGCAACTCTGTTTATCTCATGCAAGCCTCCTCTTCTTCGAATACTGGTCTCACTACCCCATTCAGTGGCTTCTGAACAGATCTTCTCTACCAGTTCATATGCTGCTGGAGCCTCCATCCTTGTGAAACCATTTCGAGAAGCATTATTTAGGGCATCCCGAAACTCCCTTCTGATTCCATTGAAGAAAATAATGATCACGTTCCAATCTTCAAGACAATGGCTTGGGCATCTCATCAATAGCCCCTTATAGCGCTCCCATGCCTCATTCAGACTCTCATCATCAACCTGCTTAAAAGTAACAATCTCTTATTGCCTCTTCATTGCCAAGGCAGGTGGGAAGTATTTATCCAGAAAGACCTTCTCAAGCTGATCCCATGTCGTGATGGAACGTGGTGTTAAGTTCTGAAACCAGTGTGATGCATTCCCTATCAGAGAGAATGAGAACATCCGAAGACGAATTGCATCATCAGACACAGTTGGGCTCTTCATCGTATCACATATGCTCGCGAACCGGCGGAGATGCTCGTGAGGATCCTCATTGCTAGCCCCGGAGAAAGTATATCCATTGGTGATCATATTGATGAATGCTGGGGTAATTTCCATGGTTGCATCCCTAGCCGGAATGACAACACATGAAGCTCGGGCTCCAGTCCTTTGATTCAAACGAGCCATGATTGATCGATCCTCGTCTGCCATGATGTCTGGCTTAATGTCACGAGGTGGTGGTGTCGGTGGTGTAGGGACGATAGGTGATGAAGCCTGCCCTCTCTATTGACGATTCTTGGTTAGGGAAGCCTAGGATTTGTAGATGTGGTAGGTTGCTTCCCTAACTTGACCTGCTTCCTGTTCTGTCGGCAAGTCCTCTCTATCTCTGGGTCAAGTGGCAGTAAATTGCCGGTCGTCCTCCTTGGCATGCACGAGGAGGATACACCTGAAAAATTCACCTGCACACTAACACCCAGATAAAAATAGTTCACTCACAAAAATCAACAAAAATAAGGTATGGTAGTTCCCGACAACGGCGCCAAAAACTTGATAGGGCAAAAGCGTATATGCCAATTTCCTATCTTGTAGTAAACCGGAAAGTCCGGGTATCGTCTCTCAGGGACTGGTACAACCTTATATTTTACCAATTTTATAGAGCAAACTACATGTGAAAATGGTTTGAGAGATAAACTAATTTCTAAAAGCAAAATTAAATAAACAAATTAAGTAATGAAAAATGTCGAGAGAAATTCAATGGAGAAAGCTATGGGAGAAACACCGGGACTCACTACCTATCATATCCAAATTAATTCACATATTCCAATCAGTTTAATCCAACTCTCTACAGCCAGGATATCACGAATGCGCTAGCTATCCCTGTCGGGAATTACTACGTACTAAACAATTAATTCAAATCCTACTGTCATAGTTCAATGAATTAACTATTTAGCCTAAAGAACGATATCCCAATCAAGACCGCATAGTACCTTATTTAATCCACTGTCGCTTCGATAAGTTACTATGTCACATGAAATATGTTCAGTCATTAGGGTTTCACTGTTGCTAATAACCTAATCAACTACAAATCGATGTATTGGTGGCCAGCCAACACAAAGCATTAAGCAATTCCATGTAATAGAGATTGGAAGAAAAGAGATATGAATCAATCCATCAAGTCTAGAAATAGTTACATCCTATGGTGTTTCCCCTAGAAATTGGGGTTTAGTTCATGACAAAAATAAAACACACAATCATGTTCATAATCATCATGATATTAATCAATGAAAATTGACGAAAATACTCTGGAAAAGGCTAAATTGGAGGCAGTTGATTCGTCGCCCAGCTCGCCAATCGATCATTCTCCGCAATTCCTCGCTACGTCGCGTTGTTCTCCTTTTTCTCCAAAAGAATTCCGTCCCCAAAATATAATTCCGCTGCTGCTCCTAGCCCAAGTGAATATTCCACCAGTGATACGAGCCTGATTGATTGCTTGTGCAATTTCTTCTTTTTTTTCGTGCTTTCTCCACCTGTAACATACCAAACTCATGGCACTAGGCAGTAATGGTTTTTCAACCATTCCCGGGTTAGCAAGCCCTAAAATAGCACCAATTGGCTTAAATATATCATGAGATAGTCACATAAAGTTCAAGAATCCGATATATTAAAGCCGATTATCATTCGGCAGTAAAAACACGGGCAAACTAACCTAAAAACATGGTCGTGTTTCATCTGGCCCCCGCTAGTGTTTTTACTGCCGAGGGCGTGTCGTGAGGGCTGCTGGGGGCAAAACACGGGCGGGCAAAAGTAAAACACGGCCGTGTCCTCGACCGTGTTTTGCCCAAAATCGGGTTTTTAAGGTAGATTCAAGCCAAAGGAAAGAGAGAGCTGGGTTTTGGTTCCCAAACACCCAAGGGACGAACCCTAGAGAGAGAGAGAGAGCGACTTGGGAACATTCTTGGAGCTATTTTGGAGGATTTTTTCGCCATTGGAGCTCGGGAATCAAGCTTGGAGATGGAGATTGAAGATCTAGATCAGATTTCTGCAGTCTCTCTCTTCTCTATGGAGTAACTTCCCTTCACTTAGGTTTTGGGGAACCCTAGTTCCATGTGTTAGGATCTTTCTTGTATGAAGTTTTGGATGTTATATTGCTTGATTATAATCGATTGAGGCATGACTTATTGAGTCAATTGAATCTTGATCAAATTCTCTTGATTTCAGCTTTAACTTATGATAGATAGAATCTGATTAGGTTAAGAGAGCTTCCTTGATTGATAGTGGTGAATTGGTTGTGCGAGAGTCAATCAATTCACTGCTTTGTACTGGAATTCATTCTAGTAGTGGAGATTTATGTGAATCGCCTTAGCAGTCTATCCCGGTGAAGGCTAGTCGCCTTCCGGGTATTCTGTCTAAGAGGGCTTGGTCAGCTTAAGAGATTCCAAGCTGATTTAGGATCTTTCGCAGTTTAATCAACAGTAGATCAACCAAAGGTAATTGCAACTTGGATCTAATTGAGGAGCTAGGGAGAATCATACCTAAGTGAGTTCCCAACTTGTAATTAGTAGAGTAGTTAGTAGAGTAGTTTAGTAAATCAATCCTTAATCTAGTTTGCTAGATAATGAACTGAAGCTAAGTAATAGTAACTCTAGAGACCCGTGGATTCGATATTTATTACTTGTGCCACTATACTGCAATCCCTTTTATTGGTTACACTTGGCCATTGTTAGGTGTTGTGTTTTAGCGAGTCGCACACTTTTACATTATTCCTCAAACGTCTGTTGGCGTTGATCCATCAGCCGGCCTTGGTGATGGCGGTCTCGTAATTGGGTTGTCTTTGAAGGCAAACAGTTTGGGATCCGATGCTCATGTGACAATTCAACCAACAATATGAGGAATGGGTGGGCTTGCCAGCGGATCAGGCTCCTAAGGTGATGATTCCGTCGATTCAACCAACTACTCCAGTGGGGGATCCCCACTTTGTTTGCATGTGGGATGGGGCTACTAAGGGTGGGTCGCATTCGGCTGGTGGGATGGTAGTACTTGACCCGGCGTGGACGTTCCTTCTGGCAAGGGGGATTCAGTTTCCGCAGTTGGACGAGCCTGCAGTGGTGGAATTGCTTGTGCTTAGGGAGGCAGTGATTTGGTGTGTGGAGTGTGGTTTGTCGGAGGTCCGGTTTGAGGGGGACGCGTAGGTGATAATTGACAAAATTAATCAAGTCGACACAAGCGACAACCGGTTGGGTGCTGTCCTGGAAGAGATAGGTAATTTTTTACGTACCCAGCCTGATTTTAGTGTGCGTTTTGTAGGTCGGGAGAACAAATAGGGTAGCTCATTCGGTAGCTAGAAAAGCCCTTTCCTTGTATCCGACTATGAGTCGCTTCTTTGATTTTCGGGCTTGGCTGGTTTCCAGGATGTAACTGTCTATTTTTTGGATCAATATATGATATCTTTTGACAAAAAAAAAAATGTAACGGGTTAATTGTATGGTTGCTCACTGAGTTACAAAAAATGTTCATATTTGGTCACTGGAAATATTTAAATCCAATTTTGGTCACTCAAATTAGTTAAATGGTTCAAGTTTGATCACTCTCCGTTACCTTCCGTTAGTTATTTGCTGACGTGGCTAACACAAGTACTGTTTCATCCAATTTAAATTATAAAAAATAAAACTCAACCCGTTCAGTCAGCAAAACCCATGACTCAATCCTTCCTTCTTCCTTTATTTGACCCAAGCAAATTTTAGTTCAATTAGAAATCGTCGCCGCTGAATAACTATGTACAGTTTTCCCCTAAAATATAAATCTCAAGCACAAATCCCTCTCCGAGCTTGCCCTCACCACCGCTAGCTCCTCCTCCAAGTCCAACATCGTCGCCCTCACCACCGCTAGCTGGTCCGGTCTCCAACGGCGACTCCACTGTTGCTAGGCGGCCCAAGGACGAGGAAGATGGAGAGGATTGAGGCGGCGACACCATTGACGAAGGAAGGGTTGGAAGCAGCGACCGTACCCAGTGGCTTATCCAGGATTTCATGTAAGGTGGGTCCGAATTTTTTTTATATTGCAAGAAAAATTTGAGTCATTGTAGTGCCCCATAATAAGTTCTCATATATTAACGAACTTTCATTCATATGATATCGATGTTAATATATCCTATACAATAATCATTCATGATTTTGTCACCCATTTGATACCAAAGAGTGTTTTCACGTGGCTCATTGAAAATGTCATTTCAATACTTGCAGTGGAGCCTTAGTTAGCAACAACAATAAGTTACTTCTTTCAATTACCATGATTCGAAAAATAACTCGTAATTCTATATAGTTTTAGACAATAGCTAGCCTATATTCACGTCAAAGTATACATATAATAATCTAGTTGAGGTTTAAAACCTGATATATTGAATTTATTATTAGGATAAAAATAATCTAGCGAGTTTCAACAATAGAAAGTTTAGGCGATATATAATGAATAAACCTGAAATGGTTGAACCACGATTAAACCACGTTTTCAACATAAAATATCCTACCATTGACTTGTCCGATATAACTTTTGGTATGATTTTTAATCCTTATTATTTAGGCGTACATATTTTCTCCTGAGCCAAGATGGGTCCCGGGACCCACCTTAGTATGCACTGGCTCCGCCACTGACCGTACCTCAACCTCCAACCAGTTCGTCGGGATCTAGGTCAAGCAGCAGACTTACCCAGTTGATGTTGGATAAGAAAAGGGATCGCCGACTGTTACCTCCCTCTTCCCCAAATCGTCGTCGTTGCCGCCGTTGTTCTTGCTTTTCTTGTTACCATCGTCAGAGCTAGGGTTTTGTGAATCCTTCCGTAACTGATCGATGTCGTCGTTGTCGCCGTCTTGGTTGGTGGCGGCACAAGTGATTGGCCGTGGACTGTGTAGCGGGAAGTGAGATTTGGAAAGGGGAGTTGGAGGAGGAGGTGGAAGTGGAAGTGGGAGAATTGATTATGGTGGAGGATAAGAGGGGAAGTTGTGGTAGCGACAACGTGGAGTTTTTGTTGAAGGAAGAAGAATAGGAGAGGGAGGAGAAGAGGGAAATCTTGGATTAATCTTGGAGTTCCTGGATTTTACAGATTGGTTAATCTTGTCTTGGGTTTTAATTTGGGTAGGTTCGATCATGGGTTAACCCCGTTATGTAACCGAAGAAAGTTTCAAGCTAACAGAATGATGCAAATGTGCATAGGAGGACTCTCTGCTTGTGTTGTGTATATGTGTTTCTTCTAGAATGCTAAATATTGCTCTAAATTTACTTCTCTTATTTGGTGTTCTATACCTTGTATCTTTTGGGCTTGAAGTTTGCACATAACCAATCATATTATGTGTTTTATAATAATATTAGTCACAACGTGGAGTTTTTGTTGAAGGAAGAAGAATAGGAGAGGGAGGAGAAGAGGGAAATCTTGGATTAATCTTGGAGTTCCTGGATTTTACAGATTGGTTAATCTTGTCTTGGGTTTAATTTGGGTAGGTTCGTTTCTGGGTTAATCTTGGAAAATATAAATCTCAAGCACAAATCCCTCTCCGAGCTTGCCCTCACCACCGCTAGCTCCTCCTCTAAGTCCAACATCGTCGCCTTCACCACCGCTAGCTGGTCCGGTTTCCAACGGCGACTCCATTGTTGCTAGGCGGTCCAAGGACGAGGAAGATGGAGAGGATTGAGTCGGCGACACCATTGACGAAGGAAGGGTTGGAAGCAGCGACCGTACCCAGTGGCGTAGCCAGGATTTCATGTAAGGTGGGTCCGAATTTTTTTTATATTGCAAGAAAAATTTGAGTCATTGTAGTGCCCCATAATGAGTTCTCATATATTAACGAACTTTCATTCATATGATATCGATGTCAATATATCCTATACAATAATCATTCATGATTTTGTCACCCATTGGATACCAAAGAGTGTTTTCACGTGGCTCATTGAAAATGTCATTTCAATACTTGCAGTGGAGCCTTAGTTAGCAACAACAATAAGTTACTTCTTTCAATTACCATGATTCGAAAAATAACTCGTAATTCTATATAGTTTTAGACAATAGCTAGCCTATATTCACGTCAAAGTATACATATAATAATCTAGTTGAGGTTTAAAACCTGATATATTGAATTTATTATTAGGATAAAAATAATCTAGCGAGTTTCAACAATAGAAAGTTTTGGCGATATATAATGAATAAACCTGAAATGGTTGAACCACGATTAAACCACGTTTTCAACATAAAATATCCTACCATTGACTTGTCCGATATAACTTTTGATACGATTTTTAATCCTTATTATTTAGGCGTACATATATTCTCCCGAGCCAAGGTGGGTCCCGGGACCCACCTTAGTATGCACTGGCTCCGCCACTGACCGTACCTCAACCTCCAACCGTAGTCCGTCGGGATCTAGGTCCAGCAGCAGACTTACCCAGTTGATGTTGGATAAGAAAGGGGATCGCCGACTGTTACCTCCCTCTTCCCCAAATCTTCGTCATTGCCGCCATTGTTCGTGCTTTTCTTGTTACCATTGTCAGAGCTAGGGTTTTGTGAATCCTTCCGTAACTGATCGATGTCGTCGTTGTCGCCATCTTGGTTGGTGGCGGCACAGGTGATTGGTCGTTGACTGTGTAGCGGGAAGTGAGATTTGGAAAGGGGAGTTGGAAGAGGAGGTGGAAGTGGGAGAATTGATTATGGTGGAGGATAAGAGGGGAAGTTGTGGTAGCGACAACGGGGAGTTTTTGTTGAAGGAAGAAGAATAGGAGAGGGAGGAGAAGAGGGAAATCTTGGATTAATCTTGGAGTTCCTGGATTTTGCAGATTGGTTAATCTTGTCTTGGGTTTTAATTTGGGTAGGTTCGATCATGGGTTAACCCCGTTATGTAACTGAAGAAAGTTTCAAGCTAACAGAATGATGCAAATGTGCATAGGAGGACTCTCTGCTTGTGTTGTGTATATGTGTTTCTTCTAGAATGCTAAATATTGTTCTAAATTTACTTCTCTTATTTGGTGTTCTATACCTGGTATCTTTTGGGCTTGAAGTTTGCACATAACCAATCATATTATGTGTTTTATAACAATAGTTAATATTAGTAGTCGTAACAATTTGAACACGTGACCTCAAAGTCAAACTAGTTCTGATATCATATTATAAACCAATTAATCCAAATAACTTGAGTTGTTGGGAGGATGTTGGGAGAGATCCATATATAATATTTATCCACTTTCTTATAGTATGTACTTATTTTCATTTATAAATGACTACAAAGAATTAGTAAGTGATAACAAACTCTAATCTCTAAATGGTGATCTGAGACCCTAATTCTCTAATCCCAAACCCCAAAACAAATTTAATCAAGAACAAAAATGGATCGATTCTAATTTGATAAAGTTCCTTGAAATATAAGCTTACATCATCCATAACACATAATTTCTCGTACGTTATTGCAATGATTTAGTATTATCATAATTTCTTGTGTGTCATCTCGTATCTCAATTGACTGAACCAATTCAAACGAAGTTCGCAAAGGTTCGAATACTACTTGCTTAATGTTGAGAATCGTCGGAAAATAGACACAAGACTTCTCAATCATCGAAAACTCTGATATCATATCCAAAACCGTTTAATCTCATTTACTAACCAAAAAAAATTTATCTTAAAAAAAGTGTTCTTTAACAGTTTATAGTATGAATCAAATAGTGAACAGCATTTTAATTACAAAAACACACGTATATAATTAAAAAAAAAATACACCCCTTATCCAAATTCTCCCCAATCGTACGTCTCTTTTACTTTGTCTGATCTCCTCCTTCAAGTTCAACTGTCAACCAAACTATTGTCCGAGTATCAATTGGCCGGCGGCCGAATCCCTCCTTCCTCTACATACACAGCTTATTCATCACCGCCACTTCCCTGCCGATTGGTTTCCCCCGGCATCCATATTCAGACAAACACACACAACACAAAAGCAAAAAAAAAAAAAAAAAAAAAAAAATCGCCGGCCAAACATACAAATCCGCATTCCACCAAATCCAGCCATCCCGTAATCAGATAGTTCATCACGACTCGATCTCTAATAAACTTGGATCCACACTCAATCCATCGAGTTCCTTCTTCTACGAAAGCGTACTATAGTATATAAATACGCACGTTACTAATGAATGCTTCCTCAAGCACAACTTTTCATCAACTACATATCAAAGAAGAAAAGAAAAAAAAAAAAAAAAGACCAACACATTTTTTTCATATTCACCATATGATGACGAGCTCGATCATCATGATTGAGGCGACGATCATCATCGTCGTCGCCGCGCTGTTGCCGTCGTGCACCCGAGCTGCTTACGACGGCACGGTTCTGGAGTCCAAGTGCAGCGACGGGTGGGACTACACTGACGCCAGGAGGCAAGAGATCGCTTCCGTGACGAACACGCTGATAAGCGGAGCGAAACCTGGGCCTCCGTCGGCCTACCTATGCATCGTCCCGGACGTCAATGATTACAAGCCCGACGTTTGGGCCTGGGCCACCTGCGCCGAGTCGCTGGCCCAGCCCGATTGCACGCAGTGCGTGCAGGCCGCGCGGGATCTGCTGGTGAACAGCGAGTGCGTCCACAAGGCCGGGGCGCATATGTTCCTGCAGGACTGTAGCATTGAGTACGACAACTACGCAGTCTGCCATTCTTATTGAGAGCTATGGCCGAGGTATACGAGGAGGTTACGACTGCAATACTGCATGATGTTGTACGTGAAATATCATGAGAAAAAAAAAATAGAGTTAATACCTTAGTTTGGCCCGAACTATAGACAAACTTTTTACTTTGCCCCGTGGTATCGGAAATTGTTATTCTGGCCTAAACTATGTAGCATACTTTCTTATTTGGCCAGGAGGCAGGTTTGACCGTCAAATTAGACGGTCAACTCGGTTGACCGTTAGTCAAAGTCCACCTCACTTGCCACGTCAGCTATCAAGGAAAAAAAATATTACTTTTTTGAATTTTTGAGTTTTGTTTACTTTCTAAAATTAAATAAAAATAATTTGGGGAGCTTTTTTAATTATTTCTTTTCGTTTATTATTTTTATTATTAGAAAGTTAAAAAAATTCAAAACACAAAATTAATTTTTTATTCCCTAATAGCTGATGTGGCAAGTGAGGTGGACCTTGACTAACGGTCAACTCGGTTGACTGTCTAATTTGACGGTCAAACCCGCCTCCGGGCCAAATAAGAAAGTATGCTACATAGTTTAGACCAGAATAGCAATTTCCGATACCACGGGCCGAAATAGAAAGTTTGTCTATAGTTCGGGCCAAACTAAGGTATTAACAAAAAAAATAAGAGGGCAGATTATAAACAATGTAACAATAAAAAATCAATAGAAAATAACATTTCTCGTCTTTACTCTATGCCATTAAAAAATGTTTGTCAACTCAACATATTTGAAATTTAGTTGAAGGTTAAATCTTAGTCGCTCAACCAATATAACTAAACATCTCTTGTGAGTACTCACTCCTGTAATGCATATAATCACGTCAATGTGTTTATGAAAAACTCTGGCACAACTTCATGGTTTGCTCTTTATTGCAGTTCATATTAAACCAAATATCTATGAAATATTACATATGATTAATCACTCTATAAGATAAAAAGAATTAAAGAAATGAAATAATCTAAAAAATTGGTGTTTAGAAATTGTGTTCTTTTAAGCTCGTATGATCCTGCGCGCAGGGACCAAGGGTTTTTGTACAATTGTCTTTGAGCTATGATAGTGGGGTTTTCCTGGTTATGGGCTCTAGTAGTGGGGTTTTTTTTATGTTGGTTAAAATGTGAAAAAGACTAGTCTTCAAAAATGTTAATGAAAATTAAAATATCTCACATTTGACATTGACTATTGCTGTACACTGGCGACAGAATCATAATCGTCGAGCGGCTTTCTAAAATTTTTAAAATAGTCAAATGAATTGATTACAAAAAAAAATTTGACAATTTCCTCAAGGGTTTTATTATGTAATCCGTTCGAATCACTCTCTACATGGTGCAGCCAGCCGGCCTCGTCACTCAAAGCCCCAAAAACTGCAGGACGATAAATACTTGCCAACATTTCAACCATTCATCCTAGCTAGCCCCGTATTCAGAGCTATATTGTTCATCACGGCTTCGATCAATTTGGATCCATTTTTCTAACGCGACTTCCTCTCTCCACAAACACACATATATATGCAGTAATTCGGGTGAAGGAACATGTACATTTTGATGAAATCATTATGTTTGGGATGGCTAGCTGACAATTCGTCACTTTCCTTCCAATTTTCACAAACCGACGATGATTCACGTTAGCAATAACTAACTAACCGGTCATTTAGTCAGATACGCATCCACAATTCGATCATTTCACTATTTTACAAACACTGGAATTAGGTAGGGGTGGGCAACGGAAAACGGGTATTTGGGTATACCCATACCCATCTAATTTTTTTAGGGTTACAGGTACCCAAATACCCGTTATATTTGTTACGAGATGAAATTTGCGATTAAGAATCTCAACATCGGATACCCGCAGGTTACCCGCTAATACCCATTTGAATAGTTTGGGTAACCGTATTACATTATACATTTAGCGAAACCCGGATTTAGTTGTCTTTGTGTTTCTTCTGTTGGTTGCCTTCTCAAGGAGACAGTATCTATCTATATTTCTTACCTTATGGCTTATGGAGACAATAGATTATGCCTCATGGGGACAGTAGCTATGTTTCATTTTCATTTGCAAAGAGACAGGAGCTTATGCCTTATGACAATAGCTATATTTCTTATGCTTATGTCATTTTGTTTCTAAGTGTTTTTTTTTTATGAATATTTTGTTTCTAAGTGCTATATATTTTGTTCCCGGTGTAATTTTGTAAATGTTTCCGTGTAGAACGGGGATCAATGGGTAGTTTGGGTACTCGTTATCCGTCTCGCACGAGTTAATGAATACCCGTTATCAGTATAGATTTGGGATATAAGATGAACTTTGCTCTCTAAACGGGATTGTGTACCCTTTTCCCATCTCTAAAAGAATTAGGAATTTTACCATCTATTCGTCGACGGACGTCGATCAGCTGCTGCTAACCTAACTAGCTAGCTAGGTCCGGTTTGAAATAATGACGGTTGGTTGTTTGGTGTTTCCTGAGAAAAACCAAATGCCACCGCCGGTGCCGAACTTGGTTTCCGGCGATGTTGATTTGATGTTTCGTGGTGGAAACTCTTGCGGTGCCGTTTGATCGAATGCACCGCTGATTGCTGAAATCGAGACGACCGTCAAATATCCGCCGCCGAATGTCGGCGCCGTTGATTTGATCGATGCACATCTAAATGGTGAAATCAACGTGACCGTCAAATATCCACCGCCTGGCGGTGTTGATTTGATCGATGCACCTCTAACTTCTAACCAAGAACGACCGTTACTACGGTTCGCACCTCTCCAAACTACGTTCGAACGAGGGTGTTTGAGTTTTGAGGAATCTACGCTACCGCTACTCCTATGGAGATTCCTGTGGAGAGCTCCGCGACTACGACTAAGACTACAACTATGGAGATCCTTCCTGGAAGGAGAGCTCCGCGAAGGAGTTACAGAGAAAAAAGGTAAAGTTTGACAGATGTGTTTCTGTGTTGATTTTTTGTTCCCCCTCTCTCTCCTTGCTCCACTGCTTTTATTCAAAAAAACATCTTCGTAGTCTTCAGACTCGGTGAAACCGCTTCCTCAACTGCTCCGCTGTGAACTCCCACGTGTCTCAACTGTCTTGATCTCCTCCTCGCTCTGGTTGGCGTGAATCTCACGCGATGTTGTTTTATTCCCCAAACAGCTCTGTCTACTTTTTCCTCCGCGACATTGTTTTATATTAAACACTGTCGTTTTCTCTAGTACAACGGTACCGTTGGGCTTACTCGCGGTATCGTTTTTAACTAAACAACACTACTTGGTTCTACCCACGACATTGCTTGTCACTAAACGGTGGTGTTTTTTATCCTTCACTGACAAGGAATAAAAATCACTCATTTTCCAACCCCAACACCAACAATCAAAGCTGCCAACGACATTGTTTTCTACTAAAATAATGTCGTTTCAAGTACCGCGGCATCGTTGGGCCTACTCGCGACATCGTTTCAAATCCGCGGTGTCGTTTCTTTCCTCTTGCGGCATCGTTTTCAACTAAATGACACCGTCCTAAACGGTCATTAAAATATTAATTAATTAATCCGGCCATCACTAGCCTTGGCCAACGACATCATTAGTGCCACGGCTCCGTTTGCTTCCTTTCGCGACATTGTTTGTTATTTTAAACACTGTCGTTTGCTAGTACAACGGCACCGTTGGGCCTACTCGCGGTACTGTTTTGTTTCGCGGTATCGTTTTAACTCTCTGCGATGCCGCTTGTCTTCACGCGGTATCGCTTCTCCCCTTCTGACAAGGAATAGAAAAAACTCATTCTCCAACACCGACACTAATCGTGCGGCCCAGAACTTGTTTTTCGGTAAACAGTGTCGTTTCCAATGTCGCGGTACCGCTGAGCTTCCTTGCGGTACCGTTTACACTCTCCGCGACATTGCTCGATTGCAAACGACACCGTTTCTATCATGCGATATCGAATTAAATGCCGAGACTTATTAATGCGGCATTTAATTAATCCAAATTAATTTTAGGTGTAAACATTGCCCCCACAATTTGGTTTATAAGAATTTATGAACCAAGTTGTTGACACAATTTAAATCACCCGAACCTAAAATTCTATTTAAGTTGCAACTCCAATTAAAACCACAAAACCATGTAGTTGCCAAGTTCCCATGCAATCATGCGGCCAAAACTTGATCAAGGTCCCCAAATACAATTTGGTTTCTAAAACATTATTAGCCTTGCATCATGCTGCGGCCAGTGCAACAGTGCAATTTATTTATTTATTTAACAACAAGCCAATTAATTTTGGCTTTAAATAATCTTGCCAGCTATGCGGGAAAAAAAAATATATATATATATTAAATAAATAAACTATTCCCTAATGACTTCTCAACATCGGCAGCTCTGCTTGGATTCATACACAGTCCTGTTTTGGCCAAATTTCTAGCAGCTTTGTTTGCGGCTGCCGCAGGGTTGCCTTGGCCCAAAACTGACTTGCTTTTGTAGACTCCCGCCGCGTTGCCCGGAGCCAAACGACAGTGTTTTGGATTTTTTCCCCCTTGCCCGCATCGTTGCAAGAATAAACGACGCCGCTCCGGTGGCCCCGCATTGGGACATAGGCCAAAACGTCCTCGTTCAGTCTTTCTTTCTTTGCCAGCAACTCTGCGGCACCCTCAGCAATGTTGTTTGCCCTTTTTTTAGCAACACTGTCGCAGGTCGCACCACAGTTTGGACCGGGTTTTTTTATATTTTTATCTTTCACAAAACAAAGTTGCAACCCACAAAGCAACTCTGTGAGCTCTGCATTTGTTTGCCCTTCTCTTTTTCTATTATTATTTTTAAATATATTAATCATAATAAATAAGCCCGCTGTTGAGCGGCTTTGGGCAAAAATAGAACAGGGGATAACCCTTTCAAACAACGATATTGTTATATTTCCCCTGCTTTCAAAATCTACAGCGCTGTAACAACTCAGCAATGCTGTTTAGATGAACGACAATACTATGTCATTTTATTATTTTTCACGTTGCTTATAATTTTTCTCTTTTTGAATTTTTTTCATATCGTGTGGCCTGTCAGCCACTTTTATTTTACTAATAGTAAATAGAAATTGAAACACACTGGCTAGAAATTGGCATAAACCATCATGCCAAAGGTCCACACCCACTCCCAACTCCACGGATCAAACCAAACAAACCATCCGTGAATGCCATGACTCATCACAACTGGTTTCACACACGTAGGTTTTGATGTTTTAAAATCAATGTTGGTTTGTAACTTTCCAGTTCGTCGAGCTCGAACACCTTTGTTTGAAATTCCACGAGCTCGATTTGACTTCATCTTAGCCATAGGGCCGTGGCAGAGAAAATCACCGGTATTTTTTACTCTTGGCGGGACATTGGAGTTTTTTAATGTCTTTGTCCTGCCAAATTGACCATGTGGCGCCGCTTGCCCAAACTGGTCTTGTTTTGTCAGCTGCACACACTTACGACGTTGTTGAGTTTGAGGCTTACGAGCTTCACCAACAGTCATGTGGTTATTTTGATTAATGCACTTATCACATAACCACTTGGTATCTTTTGAATTTTCACGTGAGATTGAAATTTTTCGGGCATTTAGCTTGCCCCCTGCCCGAAAATCATGGAAGACTTGTTCCCAGCTAGTATCGGTGTGGCAACTCCATGTTGGGGTTGATTGAACTTGCCCCCCTGTCCACTCAGTGGAGGCTTTGGGGATAGCTTGCCCCCCTGCCCGAAAATCATGGAAGAATTGTTCCCAGCCGGTATTGGTGTGGCAACTCCATGTTGGGGTTGATTGAACTTGCCCCCCTGTCCACTCAGTGGAGGCTTTGGGGACAAATTACAATGAGGGTTCTGTTGATTCATGCCCACTTTGGTGGCATTAGAGTTTTTCACGTGGTCACCACCTCCATCTTGAGTAGTGTTTGTGGTTATCCTAGTTTGATTTTTCATAGAATGGGGTGCATGTGGCAAACTTATTTGCCACTTACGGTGTTGTTTTTCTTTCAACCGGCCATGCGGTGGGATCTCATGCTCCCCTAGCGGCTTAGGTTGAACCCCATCGCGGTGTTGCTTGGAAAACCCCTCATACGCGAGCTTGCTATGCCCAACGTACTTGTGACCAGGTTCTCCGCCCTTGTTATTGTTTTCAATCTTACTAGAATTAAGTCGATACTGACTTCTTTGTAGTGGCTTCTTCAAACCAATTCCAACTTGTGTGTCCTTAAGAACAACATTGTTCACAGGAAAAGACACGTTGGTCTCCTTGGCTTCTGGCAACAATGTTGTAGCCATACTCGTCGATGGCGTTTGGCTGACATTGGCTAGCCGATCAACCATCAAATCATCGCACGCAACATACATGGTTTCAGATTTAAACACATCAAAATCACATGTGGCTCTATGTATTGACACACTAAAATCAGAAACACAGTCATCCAACTTATCAAACCATCGATCTATGTTGTTTTCAAACTTATCCATTTTCTTTTCAAGATTATCAAATTGGATATTTACCTCTTGGTGAAACTCCTTCATGGATAGGCAAAACTCCTCCATGGATTGACGTAGATACAGGATCTCAGCATGTAGCAGCTCCTCCATCCCTTGAGTACGTGTATATGCCTTGTTCGCCTGACCAACTTCAATGTCGCGCGCCTCCTCCTCCACAAGTACGTGTGGAAGATCACGATCTTGATTTCCTGGACGCGGAGCCGTATTCACATCAAACACACGTGTCCCACCAGGTGTGCCAAAAAATTTTCCTGAGAAAAACCAAATGCCACCGCCGGTGCCGAACTTGGTTTCCGGCGATGTTGATTTGATGTTTCGTGGTGGAAACTCTTGCGGTGCCGTTTGATCGAATGCACCGCTGATTGCTGAAATCGAGACGACCGTCAAATATCCGTCTCCGAATGTCGGCGCCGTTGATTTGATCGATGCACATCTAAATGGTGAAATCAACGTGACCGTCAAATATCCACCGTCGGGCGGTGTTGATTTGATCGATGCACCTCTGACTTCTAACCAAGAACGACCGTTACTACGGTTCGCACCTCTCCAAACTATGTTCGAACGAGGGTGTTTGAGTTTTGAGGAATCTACGCTACCGCTACTCCTATCGAGATTCCTGTGGAGAGCTCCGCGACTACGACTAAGACTACAACTATGGAGATCCTTCCTGGAAGGAGAGCTCCGCGAAGGAGTTACAGAGAAAAAAGGTAAAGTTTGACAGATGTGTTTCTGTGTTGATTTTTGGTTCCCCCTCTCTCTCCTTGCTCCACTGCTTTTATTCAAAAAAACATCTTCATAGTCTTCAGACTCGGTGAAACCGCTTCCTCAACTGCTCCGCTGTGAACTCCCACGTGTCTCAACCGTCTTGATCTCCTCCTCGCTCTGGTTGGCGTGAATCTCACGCGATGTTGTTTTATTCCCCAAACAGCTCTGTCTACTTTTTCCTCCGCGACATTGTTTTATATTAAACACTGTCGTTTTCTCTAGTACAACGGTACCGTTGGGCTTACTCGCGGTATCGTTTTTAACTAAACAACACTACTTGGTTCTACCCGCGACATTGCTTGTCACTAAACGGTGGTATTTTTTATCCTTCACTGACAAGGAATAAAAATCACTCATTTTCCAACCCCAACACCAACAATCAAAGCTGCCAACGACATTGTTTTCTACTAAAATAATGTCGTTTCAAGTACCGCGGCATCGTTGGGCCTACTCGCGACATCGTTTCAAATCCGCGGTGTCGTTTCTTTCCTCTTGCGGCATCGTTTTCAACTAAATGACACCGTCCTAAACGGTCATTAAAATATTAATTAATTAATCCGGCCATCACTAGCCTTGGCCAACGACATCATTAGTGCCACGGCTCCGTTTGCTTCCTTTCGCGACATTGTTTGTTATTTTAAACACTGTCGTTTGCTAGTACAACGGCACCATTGGGCCTACTCGCGGTACTGTTTTGTTTCGCGGTATCGTTTTAACTCTCCGCGATGCTGCTTGTCTCCATGCGGTATCGCTTCTCCCCTTCTGACAAGGAATAGAAAAAACTCATTCTCCAACACCGACACTAATCGTGCGGCCCAGAACTTGTTTTTTGGTAAACAGTGTCGTCTCCAATGCCGCGGTACCGCTGAGCTTCCTTGCGGTACCGTTTACACTCTCCCCGACATTGCTCGATTGCAAACGACACCGTTTTCTATCATGCGATATCGAATTAAACGCCGAGACTTATTAATGCGGCATTTAATTAATCCAAATTAATTTTAGGTGTAAACATTTGGAAATAAAAGTGTTTTATCCTACGTGATCACTTAGGATTATGAAGGTAAGTTTGGCCTCTTATATCCACTTGCCCGACCCAGCTCGAACTAACCCTGAGGGTCAGCCGAGCCAACTTATAACCCTAGAGGGACAAGCCAAATAATAGATCACCCTAAAATATCCGGCCCAACCCTAAACCCACGGACATACATCAAACTGCAGAGCAGCTCTCTTTCTGGGTATGAAATTCAATTGATGAGTTTGAAATTTGCACGGGTCTAGCCATATATACCATGTGTTTTAAGACAATATTTAATATTGAAAGTCATGAGTACTTGAACACATGACTTCAAGGACAGACTTGCTCTGATATCATGTAATAAATCAACCAGTTCCAATAACTCGAGTTGTTAGGATAGGTTAATCAGTTAATGTATGATACTTAACCACATTCTTACACAGTCTACTTAGTTTCATTTATAAATGACAAAAAAAAAAATAGTAAGTGATAACGAAATTTAATTTCTAATTGGTGGTCGGAGACCCTAATTCTCTAATTCCAAAACCCAAAACCAATTTAATAAAAAAACAAAAATTCTCCACTACGTCTTTTACTTGGCTTGATTTCGTCCTAGAATTTTCAACCAAATGGTATATTGTAGGGGTGGCAGAACGATTTTCGGTTAGCAGTTAACCGGTCAGTTTCAACCGAACCGACCGGTTTTCGGCTAACCGAAAACCGTTACTTTTACCGTCGGTCGGTTGCCGGAGGAGAGGGGAAGTGGTTTGGCTAGCCGATTAACCGGGGTCGGAAACCGGCGGTTAACCGGCTAACCGACCACTTCTCCAAAACGACCCCGCACCCATCCTTAAAACGAGAAGCAGACCCCAAAAACAAAAAACGACCCCCAAATGCCCAAACCCTAACATAAATCCCTTCTCCCCTTCTCGATTTCTCCAGTTCCATTCCACCCCTTCCACCTTCTCGCGCCGCATATAGACAGAGAAACCCTCCCAGAAACAAACCCTCGCCGTCGTCCTCGCCGCCGCCGGCCATGCGAAGTCGCCTGGGCCCCGCGCCATCGCCTGCGACCGCTCCTCCACTCCCTCGCCGATTCGCGCATCATCGCCCCTCACCAGCCACCCTCGCCGCAGGCTTCTCGTCGCCCCTCCACCAGCCACCCCGCCGCCTCCACCCTCACATCGAGACGACGAGACGAACCGCCGCGTCCTCCTCCCCTTCACTGCTCGGCGCCAGGCAGAATAAGGAAAGAGAGTAGCTCGGAGGAAGGAAGGAAGGAGAGAGGAGGAGATAGAAGATTTCTGGTGGTGGAGGAAGGAAGGAGAGAGAAGAGGTGAAATGGTGGAGGAAGGAAAGAGGGAGAAGAGGTCTGGTGGTTGAGGAAGGAAGGAGAGAGAGGAGGGGATAAGGATTGAGATGTGTGGTGGAGTTTTTTGGTTTTATTTATTTATTTATTTATTTATTTATTTTGAAAAGGTAATTTTTTCGGTTGGCCGGCTAACCGAGCCTAATACCAAAACCGACCGGTCGATTGGTCGGCTAACCGTGACCTCTCTCCGGTCGGTGGTCAGAAGCTGAAGGGGGTGGCTCGGTTTAACCGATAACCGGGTTTTCGGTTTTCGGTTAAACCGAAACCGACCGATTGCCACCCCTAGTATATTGCCAGAGTATCGATTGGCCGGCGGCCGAATCCCTTTCCCTCCAGCCGGGCCGTATTGAGATACATAGTTTATCACGGCTCCATCTCTAATTAACACATTCAAGACGCGATAGATCGAGTTCTTATATATAAAAAAAGAAAGACCAGAGAAGACACCCTTTTTTCCATCATCATCATCAAATGGCTAGCTTGATCATCATCGCTCTGTTGTTGTTGTTGTCGTCGTCGTGCAATTGGGACTACGGTGACGCCATGAGGCTAGAGATCGAGAAGGTGACGAATACTCTGATAAGTGGAGTGAAACCTGGGCCTCCGTCGGCCTATGTCTGCGCCATGTCGGACCGGGACCACCTTATCGATGACGAGCCCGGCGTTTGGGCCTGGGCCAGCTGCGCCGAGTCGCTGGCCCAGCCCGACTGCACCCAGTGCGTGTAGGACGCTCGGGATCTGCTGTTGACCAGTGAGTGCGTCTACAAGGCAGGGGCGCATATGTTCCTGCAGGACTGTTCTATCCAGTACGAGAAGTATGCAATATGTCATCCTTACTGAGAGCTAGTTTGGCCCTGTTGTAATTTTTGCAGAAGTAGTTTTTGTTGTCCTTTTTTTTTTTATCGGTGTTGCAGGCTGCACATCTTTTTATGACAATGTTAGTTAGTGTAGTTCATATCTTAATTCGTAGTAATTTTCAAGATTAGTAGAGATTCGTGATTTTGTACCTAGGTATAGTAGTGTTCTTAATTTTAGCAGTGATTTTCAGTTATGTTTAATAGTGTTTTAAAACTTTAGCAGTGAAGTTGTGGTAGTGATTTCAGTTCGGTGTAGTAATAGTTTGGTTACTAGTTGTGGCCATTTTGTATAACGTAATGGCCAAGGTAATGTCTTTGTAGTACTAGTCATGTCTGTTTAGTTATGAGTTTTAGTTTTGGAAAACAATGTTTATGTTAATTTTGTATCAACCGTTGTTGTATAGGTTTCCTCACTAGTATTAGCCATATGTTGGACAATACGTGGCAACGAGCCGGGTCGTTTACGGGGTAGCACGACACAGTTAGAGCACGACACGAGCATAGTTAGAGCACGACACGAGCATGGGCACGGAATATATGGGTCGGTAACGCACGAGCACGAATAATCATGGGCCGTGTCGGGTCTAAACTTAATGAGTACGGGCATGACACAATCTGTAAGTAGGTCGTACTGAGCCTAATATTTTCGAGACCTTATTGAGTATTAGAATGGAAATGGAACGAAAAGAATATTTCTTTCATAAAATGAACTATAGGTTCAAATATTACAACATGCAAGTACAAAAACAATTATTTATTATTGTCAGAAGCGATCATAAAGATATATGCATAATTACTACCATAAGTAAAAATTGACGAAGAATTAAACAAAGCCACATCACACCCATTTATACTTTCAATTTTCTTTTCCACCCCTTATTTGTTACATTTCTCAAACATCCTCTGTTAATATTTACATTCTTCGTTCAATTTCTCTTTTTTATTGCTTCTTTTATTTTCTTCCATTCATTAAGCACGATTATGAGTGCGGCACGAGTACGAATAAACACGTCACGATACAAATCATGATCGGGCCCAGTCCGAGCCTAACAAAAGTAACAAATGAACTGGCACGACATGACACAAAAACTGACGGACCGTGTCAAACACGACACGATATAAATGAAATGAGCACGAAACGTTCTTCGTCCGTGCCGAGTGCCGACCCAAACACAACCCAGCGCCCATTGTACATGCTGGACTTGCATTCATCGCCTATACTGCACTCAACCACCCTCCATTCACTTATCTCAAAATTAAAAAAAAAAATCCTGCTCCCAAATTGAGAACTAGAAACCGTCTTGTATGGTAATCCAATCCCAAAAATTGGCCCACTTCCGTTTAAATATATCATTTAATATTTTGTATTTTCTATTACTATTATACCCTTTATATCTATTAGTACTAGGGCTCTGGTGACTTTAAACTTCATTATTCGGAAGGCAATGACGAGTGGGACCTCTGCACATTCTTCGGAGGCCAGTTCGGAGGGTGAGAAACTTATATCGACTTGCTCGCTTCTATGAACACTTAGGCACTAAGCCAGATGGTCACCTTCTGTTCGAGGCCGTTTGTGTCCTCCTGCTATTGTTATGACTTCCACATCATCATCGTACACCCTAGGCTGCCGCCGCGGAGGGGTGCGTCGAGGTGGTGAGGCAGGTGGTCCCGTCGGGGCGACCGCTCTGGTCTAGGTTACCTGGATCTCCTACGTCTGGGCGTTCGAGCTCTCCTCTTTGGACTCGTAGACCTTCTTCTGTCATCGACCTCGCTTCTGTTATGCATTCGAGCGTCCAGGCGGCTTTTCAAATCCCCTAGGGCCAAGTATTTAGGACTGGCTTTGAACTCGCGGCACTCAGTGGTATCATGAGTCGCAGTTGGCGCCAATCGCACCACTTTGGGTCGTCGTCTCTTCTGCGCGTCTGACGCGCTTCTTTTGACTCACCTCTTTCTCTGCGTCTGCCTCCTTCTTTGTCTGCGGTGAACACTTCCCGTATGTTGTTTGAAAATCGGGGTTTGTAATTTCTCCTTTCTGGTGTGCGCCTCTTTTTCTTGGCGATCCTTCCCTCCTTTTTATCTCCTTTCTCTCCTCGAGAGTTAGCGGGTTTTGCTATTTCATCTGTTCTGAGCGCTTCCTCGAGCATGATGGCTTTCCTGACCAAGCGGTCGAGGTCCGGCCAGGATCCTAAGCTATGCTCTGTATTGATGAGAACCCTTTTGAGCTCTCGGCTGTGGGTGGACATCCGCAGGTTGTTCCCTGCAACCCTGGTTGAGATCCCTTGCACCTCGCATGCTATAGTGTTCCACATGTCGTAGAAATCGATCAACGACTCTTCCCTGCCTTATCTACAATTGATTAACCCTAATACCGTATGCTTTCTCCTTTTGTGGGACGCGAACTTCGATGAGAAGAGCATGGCGATTTGCTCAAAACTCTTGATGATCGCCCTCTGGTAGGGAAGTATACCAAGTTCGGCATTGACCGCAGAACGTGACTGGGAACGTCTTGCACATATCTGCATCCGAGGCGTTTATGAGTTGCATCTTGAGCATGAAGGCGCTCAGGTGGTGTGTCGGATCAGAGTTCCCACTGTAGGTCTGTAGCCCCAACGACAAGAAGTTAGAAGGCACTTGCCTTTTGAACAAGCTCTTCGCCAATGAATTTTGTAGCACGTTGTGGCTTTTCACCTTTCCATATGAAGACCTGAGATGTTCCTCCATGAAACTTGAATTCATTTCTCCTTTGCCTTCTTCTCCGTTGGACCCCCCGCCTTATGTCCGAACAGGGTTGGCGACAGCCTCTTCTCTTTTTTCTTTGCCTTTGTCCTTCTACGGCGGTCATTAATGCTTGGTCTTGTTTGTACCGAGACAAATCTTAGTCGATCTTCTTCCTGTCTCCATCAGTACTTTATGTGAGGCGCCTTTCCCGTCTTATCACCAGGAAGACCGCCTACCATCCTTAACCACATACTAGTATTGCTATTGGGCTAGGCCTACCTTTTCACTTTAGGCTTTTAGGTTTGATACCGCTCACACGTAGCCCCATCACTTGCTTTTTTTTTAACACCCTTATATAAAAGCTCTACCAAAACTGTAAAAGCTACCCTAAGATCAAATCAACCCAACTTAACTATTTAATTTTTTAATTACATACATGTAGAGGTGGCAATTCTCAATCCAATCCATCAATCCATTAAAAATATCCATCTAATCCAATCCATTTGATCCAAATCCTATTGGATTGGTGGATCCATGGATCAATCCATGGATCCAAATGGCAAATTATGGTTTGGTACCTATAATTTTTATATTTTACATTTTGGTACCCAAAATTTAAATTTTTATAGAAAATATCATTGGAAAATTACATTTTGGTACCTAAAATTTTTCATTATGACATTTTAATACCTAAACTTTTCATATTTTACATATTGGTCCAAGGTTGAGGATGTCATTTGGATTCATGGATAATCCACCAATCCACTTGATTCAATCCATGAATCCACCAATCCATTTGATCCATGGATCCACCAATCCAATTCACCAATCCATGGATCCAATCCATTTGCCACCTCTACATACATGTTATAAATATTTATTCACATATAACGTGACTATAATTTTGTATTATATACAAAAAACGGACACCCCTTATCCAAATTCCAAAGTACATCTTGCACTTCTTTTGGGCTTAGGCTAGGGTCAGGAACCAATGGTTACTAACCTATGAGTAATTAAATCTGGACCCTTAGATTTAAGCGGGTCCAGAAAATTCAGATATAAGGGTTGTCAATTAAAGGCATTTTATTTTCCATAGTTTTCTTAATTGGCTCTTATCTTCTTCGTTCTAACTCGAATTTCAATTTTTTTTGCACAGATGGAACGAGTTCTGGTGCTCTACAAAATGAGATCAATTTTCAATATATTTCGAGAAACTTTTTTTTCACCAACTACATACCATATGGTAACTTCTTCGTTTTTAAGTCGTTTTTGAAAACGTTTGCTCAGGAGGAACGAGTTCATCATGATCTATTGGATCTATAAATTTCTGGGTGAAAAAAATACTAGATAAAAAATTATCATACTTCACCACTATGGTATGTGATTGGTAACTTGTGGTAACTTGTAGTAAATAATGATGAAAGTCGTAAATGACAGTTAATATACTCCTACTATCATGTATTCAACTTTCTTACCATATTGGTATGTTCATACCATCATGTACGCTTTCTTACCATATGGTATTAAATTGGAGCATACCATATGGTAATGACTGGTAAAAAATTATTCAATTTTTTTGTACTAAAAATATATCAAAGTGGATATCATTTTGAAGAGCATATTTAATCTGATTTATCTGTGCAAAAAAAATTAAATTTCGACTTAAAACGAGAGAGAAATCGTCTGTTAAAGATTAAAGGGGAAAAGATAAAAAGACTTTCAAGGAGAGAGAGACTACTGATGTCATGCTGATGTGGACAGATTACTCATGGTTACTGACCTGATCCGCTCCCCTTCTTTTGATATCCTCTTTAAAATACCAACCAAAATTAAGTATTGTCTGATTAGAGACTAGCTTATAACCCGGCCCGTTGGCCGAATATAGTTTGACCAATAATCCTTCATGATATCTATAATGCTTGAAAGGACAATAGTTGTACAATGAGTATGGATAAAAACCAAACTCAAATAGATATAAGTATGAATCCATCAAATTCTGCGAATTTATGTTATATATGAGTTTCATACCGTACCCAACCGGATTGAGTAAGTAAATACTCATAATTTTGGGCATAACTGTCAACCTGATGACAATGGATCAAGTTTCTCAAAACTCAAACTTAATCCAGTGGGTGCACCCACTATAAA